CTTAATCTTAATCTCATCCTTTGTTCCAATGTCCATATCTCAGTTGATATTCATATTTATAGTTCCATATGCCATACCGCCATCTACTTTTGCTGACTGTTCAACACCAGCATAATTATTTCTCAGGGTTCTGTAAGCATCTTAGAAAGTGTGAATATCTGACAGCATATGAAAGGCTACTTATCCTTATTGCAGTGCAATCCCATGTCCATTCAAATTGCTAATATTGGTCGAATTGCATAATAAAGATTCCTAATTTTTTTTTACTTGATCAGTGTTGTTCAAATATTTTCGCCTATTGTACCCTTTATTACTTTCTTGTACTGTTACTTTCTCTCTCTCTCTCTCTCTCTCTCTCTCTCTCTCTCTCTCTCTCTCTCTCTCTCTCTCTCTTCTCTCTCTCTCTCTCTCTCTCTCTCTCTCTCTCTCTCTCTCTCTCCTCTCTCTCTCTCTCTCTCTCTCTCTCTCTCTCTTCTCTCTCTCTCTCTCTCTCTCTCTCTCTCTCTCTCTCTCTCTCTCTCTCTCTCTCTCTCTCTCTCTCTCTCTCTCTCTCTCTCTCTTCTCTCTCTCTCTCTCTCTCTCTCTCTCTCTCTCTCTCTCTCTCTCCCCTCACCCATCCACCATGGCTAAACAAACTGTTTTAATTATTAGGATAAATAATATACTAATTATGAAAAGACTGCATTGTAGGAGTGTTGGTCAATAAATTCGAATTTAATACACGAATAAAACAAGATGATTTAATAACAAAATGCTTGAAAAAAATACTTACACGACTTATTATGAGTTGTGAGGTGTGTGTGTTCCTTGTTTGTTCACGTACTCCTATGATCTATGTTGCAGATCCCAGTTGTTGAAAATATTGCCTTTGGCTGTGCAGTACTTAATATTCCTTCCTGGCTTCCCTGTGTTTTTTTTTTTTTCTTCTTCTTTCTTTTTCCTTCTGCCCGCTTTCTTCACTTCGCTTCAGTTCACTTCCATTTCTTCACTTCTCTTCAATATCACGTCTTCATTTTATGTCGTTTATTTAAACACTTCATTTTCACTTCACTTCACATCCCGTCAATACACTTCATTTCATGTCACTTCATTTCACTTCATTTTACATCCCGTCACTTCACTTCATTTTATGTCGTCACTTCATTTCACTTCACTTTCATTTCATTTTTCTTTTCTTTCCTTTGTTTTGTTTATTCTTCTTATCTCTTCCTCTCCCTTTCCTTCACGTCCCATCCCCTCCTTCCATTGTTCTTGTTATTCTTCCCCTCCATTTCCTTCTCTATTCTCTCTCTTCCTTTCTTTCTCAACGCCCTCAACCTTCCTCTTTTTTTTTTCCTTTTCTTCTCTATTTATAATCCTTTTCTCTCCGTCTCTCCTTCCCTTCCTTTCTTTCGCCTCATTTGCATTAATTTTCTTCTCCCTTCCCTCCCCCGTCCCCCTCCCTGCCTTCTCTTCCCCCTCCCCTCCCTTCCATCCCCTCCCTTCTATCCCCTCCCCCCTCCCTTCCCTCCCTCTCCTCCCCTCCTCCCTTCCATCCCCTCCTTCCTTCCCCTCCATCCCCATCTCCTCCCTTCCATCCCCTCCCTTCCCCTCCCTCCCCTTTCCCCTTTCCCATCCCCTCCCTCCCTCCTTCCCCTTCCCCTCCCCCCCCTCCCACCCCTCCCCTCCCATCCCCTTCCCTTCCCACTCTCCATCCCCTCCCATCCTCCTCCCTTCCCTCTCCTCCCCCTCTCCTTTCCCTTCCTCTCCTCCCCCCCTCCCTCCCCTCCTCCCTCCCCCCCCTCCCTTCCTTCAGCCCGCCATTGAAGTTCCCGTTGAAGGTCTTGGCTGTTGTATCTCATTTCGACATTTCATTCCGTTTCCTCGCACTTCCACTGCGGTGTTGTTGTTGGGGGTCGTTTCCGTCTGTCTGTCTGTCTGTCTGCTGTCTGTCTGTCTGTCTGGGGCGTTCGGTCTATATCTGTATCGATGAATCTGTGTGTGTGTGTGTGTGTGTGTAGAAAAACACACACACACACGCAAAGGGAACGACGAAGGGAAGGGCAAGAAAACACACGAATATGCCGAAGGCCTTTTCACTATTGCTTCGTCAGGGCATATCATATGCCCTGACGAAGCAATAGTGAAAAGGCCTTCGGCATATTCGTGTGTTTTCTTGCCCTTCCCTTCGTCGTTCCTTTGCAATCTGTTCAACATGAATTCCACACACACACACACAGAGACACACACACACACACACACACACACACACACACACAACACATACACACACACGCACACAAACACACACGCACATAAATATGTACGAGCTATATATGTGTGTGTGTGTGTGTGTGTGTATGTATATACATATGTAAATATACACATACATATATACATGTATGTATTATATGTATGTATATATATATATATATATATATATATATATATATATATATATATATATATATATATATATATATATGATATATATATATATAATATATATATATATATATATATATATATATATATATTATATATATGAATATATATATATATAGTATATATATATATATATATATATATATATATATATATATATATATATATATATATATATATATATATATATATATATATATATATATAATTTACATATACATATATACTTTTTTTTTCTTCTCTCTCTCTCTCTCACTTTCTCACTCTCTCTCTCTTCTCTCTTCTCTCTCTCTCTCTCTCTCTCTCTCTCTCTCTCTCTCTCTCTCTCTCTCTCTCTCTCCTCTCTTCTCTCTCTCTCTCTTTCTCCTCTCTTTCTCCTTCTCTCTTTCTCCTTCTATATTTCTCCTTCTATATTTCTCCTTCTATATTTCTCCTTCTATATTTCTCCCTCTCTCTCCTTCTCCCTTTCTCTTTCTCCTTCTCCCTTTCTCTTTCTCCTTCGCCCTTCCTCAGAGATCAGTGTACGAGAAAGAGCAAATTGGTAACTTTTTTGCTGATACTTTCAAAGGGATTAAGATAACAATAGTTTTTATTACCAACCGTTCGCGACTTACGTAAGAGAGTACAGATACAAATAATAAATTGGTGCCAGCTTGAAATACGTGAATAAATAGAGAAATACAGTAAGAACGATAGAGTAGGATAGAAAGAAAGAAGAGGAAAGGCTTGTAGAATGTAGAGTAGAAAATATAGGAAAATAGAGTAGAGAGTAGAATGGATATAAAGACACAGAATAATAGAAACTGTACAATATAACACGAGAGAATACAAATATAATAATGAAAAAGAAAGAAATCTACACAGCAGGGGAAAAAATTGCATTTAGATATAAGGAAAAACAGGAGAAAAGAACATGATAAAAACATTGTCTATGAGCTCGTTATCTTCCAAGAAACCCGGATGAATAAACGACTGGATGTATAAACGAAATAACCAGAGCACACAGGATCGGATTCCATAACGGGGAATTGCGGCGGTCGATCCTATACGGAATCTATACATGCAGTCAAACCCCGAAGACAATATTTAAGAGAATGGAACTCAGCTGATGCACAAAATCGAGATGATGATTGTCGTTTGATGTTGCAGTTCAAAGAGTCCCTTGCACTCAACAAAAGCTTGTATATCTCTTGCGATTTGAGGATGTTTCGATCTATTTTAGGGTATTACTGAAAGCAAGATATTACTAAACGCCTTTGTGCACTTTGTGGATGATAAAAAAATGGATTGTTTTCGATGTGTGGAGGCGCTAGGTGGCTGATCTTTAAGAGGAATGCTCAAGGTATTTATTTATTGGGGTATTTTGTGCTGGGCTGGCAGTCAGCACCTCAGGGAATGAAACACAGAGAGAGAGAGAGAGAGAGAGAGAGAGAGAGAGAGAGAGAGAGAGAGAGAGAGAGAGAGAGAGAGAGAGAGAGAGAGAGAGAGAGAGAGAAAGGGGGTGGGCAAAGAAATGGATGAAGAAAGAGCGAGAGAAAAAGGGAGACAGAGAAAATGGGGGAAGAAAGAGCGAGAGAAGGGAGACATTGATAGATAGATAGATAGATAAAGAGATGAGTAGATAGAGAGAGAGTAGATAGACACAGACAGACAGACAGACAGACAGGAAATCATATACCTACTATGAAAAGACAGAAGACCCATCAAAATTAACGAAAATCGAGACATCAATCTTAGATAAGATCACACTCACCGTCGTAGCTTATAAACCAGGCATACAATTCCACGTTCTTTTTAATTCTTTTTTTTCCTTCAATATCAACTTTTTTAACGAATTAAAGTGTATTCGTTGCAGTTCCTTTCCTTCTGGTTCTTGGAGTCACGTGATATCCTTGTGCTTCGGTTCTTCAAGGTTCTTCGGATTGCAGAAAGGGAAAAGGGGTGTGACCTTTTTTTTTATTATATTTTATTTTTTTTTTTCTACTTCTCTCTTCTCTTTTTCTTTTCTTTTTCTTCTTTTTTTTTCGTTTTTCTTTTTTTTTCTTTTTTTTTTTTTCTTTTTCCTTTTTCTTTTTCTTTTTCTTTTTCCTTTTTTTTTTTCTTTTTTCTTTTTCTTTTCTTTTTTCTTTTCTTTTTCTTCTCTTTCTTTTTCTTTTTTCTTTTTCTTTTTCTTTTTCTTTTTCTTTTTCTTTTTCTTTTCTTTTTCTTTTTCTTTTTTCTTTTTCTTTTCTTTTTCTTTTTCTTTCTTTTTCTTTTCTTTTCTTTTTCTTTTTCTTTTTCTTTTTCTTTTTTTCTTTTCTTTTTCTTTTTCTTTTTCTTTTTTTTTCTTTTTCTTTCTTTCTTTTCTTTTTCTTTTTCTTTTTCTTTTTTTTTTCTTTTTCTTTTTCTTTTTCTTTTCTTTTCTTTTTCTTTTTCTTTTCTTTTTCTTTTTCTTTTTCTTTTTTTCTTTTCTTTTTCTTTTTCTTTTTCTTTTCTTTTTCCTTTTTCTTTTTCTTTTTCTTTTTCTTTTCTTTTTCTTTTTCTTTTTCTTTTTCTTTTTCTTTTCTTTTTTCTTTTTCTTTTTCTTTTCTTTTTCTTTTTCTTTTCTTTTTCTTTTTTCTTTTTTTTCTTTT